TCCATCGACTACTTTTTGCTCTCAGTATGTTCAACGATTTTTAGTAAAGTAAATTATTGCCTAAAATACAGTAAATTTGCCTCGAAATGCAGTAAATTATTGCCTAAAATACTGTAAATTTGCCTCGAAATACAGTAAATTATTGCCTAAAATACAGTAAATTTGCCTCGAATTACAGGAAATTATTGCCTAAAATACAGTAAATTTGCCTCGAAATACAGTAAATTATTGCCTAAAATACAGTAAATTATTGCCTAAAATACAGTAAATTTGCCTCGAAATATAGGAAATTATTTCCTAAAATACAGTAAATTTGCCTCGAAATACAGGAAATTATTGCCTAAAATACAGTAAATTTGCCTCGAAATGCAGGAAATTATTGCCTAAAATACAGTAAATTTGCCTCGAAATATAGGAAATTATTTCCTAAAATACAGTAAATTTGCCTCGAAATACAGGAAATTATTTCCTAAAATACAGTAAATTTGCCTCGAAATCCAGTAAATTCTCAGGAATTGTCTCTCAGCTTGTTAGCAAAAATGGACAATTTTTGGAAGTGGAGGTACGATTATTCGAGCCTCGCGGCACATTTCTATAGTTATCGATTGTCAATAATTATAAAAACGAGTCGCCAGGCTCGAATAATCGTGTCTCCTCTCCCCAAATTGTCCATTTTTGTGTAGAATCTGTTTTTTAAGTTGTAATTAAAAAAAAAGAGTTATCTCTTTCAAAAGATGCCCAAACGTTTCGATGTCCGACCGAAAATTTTCGACACGGAGTGTACTATATCAGAGGGATTACATCATTTAACGGAGCAATGTACACAATGGAATGTTACTTCGGTGTCGGAGGATCAAAATGGATTCTGTAGGTGTTATCTGTGGCGCAGCAACGAACAGATACTTTGAGGTAACGCTGCGGTCTATCTTTAGCAGTGAACACTGATTTATAACTGAATCAGGGCAATTTTCTGCGTGGAACAGGGCCAAAATTGCCATACCCGCGGTGGATCGTCGGGAGTAAAGCTCAATGATAAATTCTCGAAGGAGCCATGCTAGTATTGCAAGTTCAGCGAACCGTCGAGGAAACAACTCTTGCTTAACGTCTATTTTCACACGTGCGTTCGCGATTTAGCGGTCACAGAGCAACGTGTACAGTGATTTCTTCCTAATTCGCGCTCAGAAGAAATGGACAATATTGGAAGAGGAGACGCGATTATTCGAGCCTTGCAGCTCGAACTTTTACAGTTATCTATTGTCAGCAATTATAAAAGCAAGCCGCGAGGCTCTTATAATTGCATCTTTTCTTCCTAAATTGTCCATTTTTGTGCGCACTCTTTTGTAATCAAATGTAATGTAATCGTGATTTTATAATATTTATTTGTATTATTTATAATAAGGGGATATTTCAGCGTGAAGTGGGTGTTTTTTTTTTAAATTTTGCTAGGGAATTGTTGCAAAGAATTTTGCAGTCGAATTGTCACTGTTTATTTGTATATATTTCAACGATGTTTTACAATATTTTGGAACAGAAACTGTTAAAATCACTGGCATACTCTCAAATATGATCGTTTTTAAAAAAAGGTCTGAATTAAATTAAAGGTCTTAATTATAGTATATGAGTTGCAAAGAAATTATTATACGTTTTGCAGTCGAACTGACACGGTTTATTTGTACGTATTTCAACGATGTTTTACAATATTTTGGAACAGAAACTGTTAAAATCACTGGCATACTCTCAAATATGATCGTTTTTAAAAAAAGGTCTGAATTAAATTAAAGGTCTTAATTAGTATATGAGTTGCAAAGAAATTATTATACGTTTTGCAGTCGAACTGACACGGTTTATTTGTACGTATTTCAACGATGTTTTACAATATTTTGGAACAGAAACTGTTAAAATCACTGGCATACTCTCAAATATGATCGTTTTTAAAAAAAGGTCTGAATTAAATTAAAGGTCTTAATTATAGTATATGAGTTGCAAAGAAATTATTATACGTTTTGCAGTCGAACTGACACGGTTTATTTGTACGTATTTCAACGATGTTTTACAATATTTTGGAACAGAAACTGTTAAAATCACTGGCATACTCTCAAATATGATCGTTTTTAAAAAAAGGTCTGAATTAAATTAAAGGTCTTAATTAGTATATGAGTTGCAAAGAAATTATTATACGTTTTGCAGTCGAACTGACACGGTTTATTTGTACGTATTTCAACGACGTTTTACAATATTTTGGAACAGAAACTGTTAAAATCACTGGCATACTCTCAAATATGATCGTTTTTAAAAAAAGGTCTGAATTAAATTAAAGGTCTTAATTATAGTATATGAGTTGCAAAGAAATTATTATACGTTTTGCAGTCGAACTGACACGGTTTATTTGTACGTATTTCAACGATGTTTTACAATATTTTGGAACAGAAACTGTTAAAATCACTGGCATACTCTCAAATATGATCGTTTTTAAAAAAAGGTCTGAATTAAATTAAAGGTCTTAATTATAGTATATGAGTTGCAAAGAAATTATTATACGTTTTGCAGTCGAACTGACACGGTTTATTTGTACGTATTTCAACGATGTTTTACAATATTTTGGAACAGAAACTGTTAAAATCACTGGCATACTCTCAAATATGATCGTTTTTAAAAAAAGGTCTGAATTAAATTAAAGGTCTTAATTAGTATATGAGTTGCAAAGAAATTATTATACGTTTTGCAGTCGAACTGACACGGTTTATTTGTACGTATTTCAACGACGTTTTACAATATTTTGGAACAGAAACTGTTAAAATCACTGACATACTCTCAAATATGGTGGTTTTAAAAAAAAGGTCTGAATTAATTAAATTAAAGGTATTAATTAGTATGAATTTAGCTGTAAGCAGGTACTAGAACAAAAGAAAGATGTACATTTTAAAGGTCACTTAAAGGTCGGAAATCATGTTAGAAGTCGTAAAAATTCGTCTCTCGTCGCACATCACAGCACCGCGTTATAAAAACTAGCGTTATGAATCATTTTTTACGAGATACTTTCTCGTTAAAAACGCGCTTGTACCTATTCACCAGACATTGTTCCAGACGCGCTTGACGATTAAAGACCGGCCTATGAGAGCTGTCGGTATACCTGGTCTTCTTCGAGCATAGAAATGCAAATTAAAAAGTGGTTAAAAATTGTAACCATGCTATAACCTCGTTTACAGAAAACAGTCTCAACCTGATTTCACGTATAAATGAGACGCTTTCGCGGAGAGCTTGGATCCCGCGATGCTTGCAATTAATTGACGCACACGAAAACCCTTTCATTCAGAAATCTTTCAAGGATGTCAACATTCATGGAATTTGTTTAAAGATCGCTTCCCGCGCATTACTGAGAGCGCATTTATTTGAATGTGCTTTACATTTGCTCCGTGAAACGAGACATTCGTTTACATGCACTGTAAATTCACCCTAATTGACGCACAGAATGTACAAAGAAATGGAAAATTAGGGAACAGGAGATACGGTCATTCAATATTTTATTATATTTTTTATTTATATATTATATGGAGTAATCGTATCTCCTCTCCCTAAATCGACCATTTTTGTTTTCAAGCTGAGGATCAATTGAGAAGAATTTATTGTACTTATCCTCAATTTTCTATTACATATTTTTCATATTTTTCTATCGTTTGAAAAGAATCACTTTAAATTAATCATAATAGTAATCGAACGAAGTACACAATCACTTCGTGATTAATGGATCCGATGCTAAATTGATTACGATCAATGATCACATTTTCTTTCATCATTCAATTGATTCAATGGTCACGATTATTGGATTGCTCATTGTTAGTTAACAATCGTAGACATTAATAATCATGAACGTAATTTCGCATCGGTTGTAATCGTTAATCATTGATCAAATTATTTCCCGCTTAACTCTGAAGCAACGTACTCGTGTACCGATTTATTGTTGCGTTTTAACGCGACATTACGTTTAGCTACAATGTTGCAAAAGTATTTTATTCCGTTTCGTTTCTCTTTCATCACCGAAAATATTTTACGTTTTATATTCTCCGATCTTCCTTCGTAAATCAGAGAAAATTCACTTTTATTAAAAGTTATAAATTCTCTGTTGATCGACGTCTAGACGTTGCTAATAACAGTAATCCTAAATTACATAAGCTGTTCCGAGTCGTCACAAACAATTCAGGGTATAAAGGGTTCAAAGCTCGGAAGAACGGGGTGACAGTTGCGATCCGGTTACTGTCTTATTTGTTATTAATTCTGATAGAAGAGAATATAATATAGAGAATATAATAATAGAATAGAATAATATAGTGAATATAATATGTATAATATAAATAATAAATAATATAATCAATAATAAATAAATAATATAATAATATAGATAGATAGAAAATGTTTACGATTGAACCGTAGCGACCTAAATTCCATTTTAGCTTCCCATATTTAGAGAAGAACACAGTAAACTCTCTCTAATTGACGCTCCGATTGTATACAAAAATGGACAATTTGGAAATAGGAGATACGATTATTATTTTTATTATTATTTTTATAGTTTCTGATTGCCAGCAATGTTTTTGTTTCCAAGCTGACCGTCAATTAGGTAGAATTTACTGTACTTCATGAGTTCGAAGTGAAACTTTTATCATACTTTCATGCGTGACAATTTCACAAGAAAACTCAATAGTGATCAACAAAGAAATCATAACTGTATCATCTATACAGAAAATCAGTTGTTTGTATTTTCAGATCGCGCCACCTTTCACTAGATCTTCGAAACGCACACTTGCGGCTCGTTTTCACAGCTGTCTACGATCGGCAACCATAAAAATGAACCGCGCGCGGCTCGAACGATCGCGTCTCCTTCTCCCGAACTGCCCATTTTCGTGCGCGATCCGAGCGTCGATTACGGAGAACTTGCCGCATACGCGTATAATCTCTCTCCGTATCCGACAAACGCGAGCAGAAACAACAATCAGACAACTTACCGACGATGCAGACGCAGAAGAACAACCAACGCGTGGATCCCATGATCGCGCCCCGATCGTTCCGTGGCCGCCGATTGGAAAATAAAACCGTGACGGTATCGGCGAGGTGCGCGAGACTCGGCGACGTCGAAGTCGAAATAAAAAGTCGGACGCGCGCGCGTGTGTGTATGGGTTCTGTTTTCGATTTGCGTCAAGCATACGGTCTCACCTATATTTAGGCGGCACCGCAATAATAGCAGCGACCACGGTTTAGGACGGGAGAAACTGGAGAACGCGAGGAAAGGAACGCGGCGTTCCAGCGGGCAACGGATCACTGACAAGCTCCGAGCGTATCACAATGGCGCCCCTTCCTCTTCCGGTACCGAAGCCGATTGATCGAGGACGTTTCTTCGCGTCCGCCGCGATTCTACCACGTGCTGCTCCGAACGGCTTTCCATCGGTGCTCCATTCAAACGTCTAAACTCGTCCTCGGATCGGCTCCGAGAGCCGTCTATGCTACCCAATGAAAGCCTATACGTCGTGAAAACAGGCCGACGTCCGCTACCAAACGGATCGTACGGTGTCCCGGAGCCTGGCAGAGCTGTTTGTTCCACCGTCGGTCTAAACGACGCGCTTCGTCTTCATCGGTTCCTTTGACTTTTACTCGAACGAGTAGCCGATCACTGAGGAAGACACATGGCTCACGGTTCGCGCACAGTTCTTCTACACTGATCTCGCCATTCACGAAGGAATCTTCAATGGTGTTTCGGTGTATCTTAGGGGGGAGTATAGTCTGCCAAAGCGAACGATTGCAACCGAAGTTATTAAGTCGAACTGATAATCATCCGAGTGGATCAGATTGTGAAGCTTCGGTCGAGGATCGATTTTCGAGAAGATCGACGGTCTTCCGGATCGAAGACGCTATTCGGGATCGCTAACGGAACGGGGACCTGGTCGCGGCGCCAGACACATTGGCCCGACAGAGTTCGCCTGGAGCGGCGTTTGAATGACGGGAATCGAAAAGCACGAGGGCGACTGGTTCAGTCTCTAATCCTCTGTCTCGCTCCCGGCCGGCTCCTCGTCCGCTTCCGCCTCTTGCTCTTCCTCCTCCGCCGCCTACGCCACTGACATCGACGGTGTCGTCGTCAACGAACACTTCCCCTTCCACCGTGTTGCCACCGTGTAACGAGGTGGATTCACAGTATTTTCGAATCGCCGCGTAACTGCGTCGGAAACGCGGCGATCCGCGGACCTCGTGGGAAAAAGCGAGAGTTTTTCTGGCGGACGGCCCGACCGCTGTTGCGCTACGAAAGTCTTGTGGACGCGGCTTCTCGGGGACGCCGGGGACGCGACGGTTTTGTAACCGAACGGTTGTTTTAGTTCGACGAGTCCGACTCGTCGCGAAAATTTTTTAGTAATAATTTATTCAGTAGACAGAGTGCCCCAAAATTATTGCACAAGGGAGTGAGACGTTCCTGAGGTCATTTCAAGCAACTTTTTCCTTTGAACAAATTTTATCCGAGGCACCGTTAACGAGTTATTAGCGAAAAACAGTGACCAATGAGAGGCGTGCTCGTCTGGCGCTAAGCGGCCGAGCCAATGGGCGGGACTGGGCCTGAGCGCCTGGCGCCAGCCGCGCGCGTCTCTCATTGGTCACCGTTTTTCGTTGATAACTCGATAACGAAGCCGCGGATTGCATTTTCGCTGAGGAAAAAGTTGCTTCAAATTACCTCAGGAAACACTGTCCCCTCATTTCTGGGCATTTTTGGGACGCCCTGTATACGAAAATTATTGCTGCCGTCGTCATGTTCAGTTGGATGTGAATTTAGTGCTGTAGGAACCTGTTAGCGAAATTAAGACACCGTCTGGATATCACGAATTGTGGAGATTTGAGATTAAAATTGTTCAGTTAGTGCTTCGAATAAATACTTTTTACAGCGCGCATCAATCTGTGTGGCACTTTATGTGACACTTAATGTGCTTCTTAATGTCGTAAGACATCGAATATAGAATCAAATTGAAGACAATATTACGCGTGCGCCTTTTATTTGAAGCGCTAGTTAATGTCAAACAATTTCAGAATTTGCTTTGCCGTTGAAGCGAAGAATGGTGCGTAAGAGATTAGGCAACGCTGTGTTCTAAGATTAACGTTTTAAACTCTTGTAACAGATGAGAGAAACTTTTTAATACACTGAATCGTGAGTTTCACATCCCGTTTACAAACCTAAATCGCATTCGATGTTATAATCGCATACGATCGATATAGCGTTAACCGTGTAAACTGATCCGAGCATGGCCAATTTCTGGTTCGTTGTTAAGAGTACATTGGCAGGGTGACCATTAAGAGGATCCAACCGGCCATCAAAGGGATTTGTATCTTGAAATTCAATGGATATCCTTTGTTTTCCGTGACTGAAATTAGCAGCCTGTTCCCATTAGTAGGATCAACAGCTCCTATTGAAATGAGCCAAGTCCTTGACCGTAGACGTGTTACACGGTAATTAGATGGAATTAACCCTATAATTAAAACAATTCGCCAAAATATATCGTTTACAAAATAAATAAATTTATATTAATATATATTATATTTATATTAATATATATATATATATATATATATATATATATATATATATATATATATATATAATTTATATTATATATATTAAAAATATATATAAATAATAAATTTTATGCATACGGCTCAAGCAACAAATACGCTTCCTCGTAAAATCCGCGTTTCCGGTGCGCCGGCAGAGGCCGATCAGGCATGCTCAAGCGGCAAAAGAACCAAGCCAGTGGACACCAGGCATTAGAGTATCTAACTTACCCTTCGGATCAGCTTATTGTTATTCAGTTAGGCTAACTGGAACGACGAAATAAAAGAGACTGATAACGGGAACGATAATTAGGATAACTAATAATAATAATTAGGATAACTGGAACGACGAAATAAAAGAAACTGATAACGGGAACGATAATTAGGATAACTAATAATAATAATTAGGATAACTGGAACGACGAAATAAAAGAAACTGATAACGGGAACGATAATTAGGATAACTAATAATAATAATTAGGATAACTGGAGCGACGAAATAGAAGAGACTGATAATGGGAACGATAATTAGGATAACTGGAACGACGAAAGGAACAGATAATAAACCAGGTAACGTATGATTTTCTATATATTTCTATATATTTCTATATTTTTTAAATATACGAAAGAAATATTAAATATACGAAATTGATTTATTTACGAACGATTTTATTTATTTGATTTATTATGAAATATACGAAAGAAATCGAACGAAGGACAGAAGAGGATGGTGTAGATCGAAGGAAGCCGCCACGATTCTGTTGTTTCGTCGGAGCGAATGCGTTCACGAATGTTAAAGTATTATCATCATTTATTTATTTCACTGATCATGACAAAGTAATAATCACATAAAGCTGTTAAAAGTAAAACCCCGTTATCACTAAATCGTGTATTGTATGTACAAGTATTATATAGTTCCGCGTCGTCGTTTTCATTTATCATTCACGTAGCTCCGTCTCATTCTTGACCAACGATAAATATATAATATATATACTTTTTCTTCTTCATCTTTTTTTTATTTTTTGTCTGTTGTTTCGTTCTGGCGTGTCTGTATTTTATCGCTCTGCTTACAAAAATTAGGTAAGTAAAGCTAAAAACAGTTTTCCTAACATTTCTCTCTATCTTTCTCGGTTGCTTCGACAAAAGCGCACTTAGAAATCGACGCTCTCTTTCTCTTTCTCTTTAATCTCGTTTTTTCTCTCTCTCTTCCACATGCACACGCAGCACACACGCACTCTCGTTCTCACCGTTTCTCGCCGGGCTCTCTCTCTCTCTCTCTCTCTCTCTCTCTCTATCTATCTATCTAGCTTTCTCTCTCTCTCTCTCTCTCTCTCTCTCGCGCGCGCTTTCTTCCTTTCATTCGCTTTCTCGGCCGTCAATCAGCCCTTCTGCCGTATGAAATGATATTTATTGGTACCCAAAATCCCGTTTAATGAAATCTCTTCAAATAAAATACTCTAGTTAACAATAAATTATTAAATATCTATTCACAAATATATGTATAGGCTAATTATCAACTGTTTTTTTTCCTCGATTATTACTATCCATGTCGCGTCAACCTATTTCTCAACCCCCTCTCGTCGCTCGCCATCACCAGTGATTATCATTTTTTTTTTTTTCGGTACTACTTTGTTACACAGACAACGGCCTAAGGTTTGCTCTTTACACACGTATATGCATAGATCGAAGGTGAACAAAAAAGAAGAAAAGAAGGATCGTTTGTCCGTAAAGAAAGAGAGGGAAACAGAAGATTCTGCTCCGTACAAGTTTACGAGCGAAGTGTTTTTTTCTTTTTCACCTTTTCTTTTTGTTCCACGTATCAGATCGCGCGCGACAGCGTTACACACCGTTTCTATTTCGCCGGCGCTGTGATTCATCGGACTGGATCCTCCGTCGCACATGATCGAGCTTTTATTTTCGGACGAATAATAAAAGTCGGCGATTCGAAAAAGCGATTTCCGCGGCCAGCGATTTCCATGGAAATGAAAGAACTCGTTTGCCAAGAGCCGACGCTGAATTACGCGCCGCACAATCGCGGAGACAAATATCGACAAATAAAACGATATAAAGAAGTCGCGCAGAGACGCTGGTTTTCCAATGAACGATATTGCGTGCACGCGACGCTTTCTTTGTTTTTGTTTTTTTTTTATATACTTTCGCAGTCGAAAGCTCGAAGAATCGCCGAAATCGTTCGGCTCTTTCGAACGACGTCCGTGACCCTCTCGGTTCCGAACGCGCGTACACATTTCTCTCGTCGGCGTTCGATGGAAAAAAAATCCCGAAAATCCCGAAGAACAATGCGGTCCGTACGATTCGACGGGAATCGTTCGAACGGATTTTCGCGCGGGTCGTTTCGACGCGTCGGCAACGGCGGGGGTCGTTCACGCACGAACGACCGAAACGACGGCTGAACGAACGAATCACTTGGAAGTGCGACGACGACCACGATGATAAAAGGGCCTCCATTAGAAAGCGCGTGTACAGTGGCCCGCAAAAGTGCTCGCACACCTTTTAAAACGCAATGATGTTTTTTGAAACCGGACCGAGGTGACTTGGATTCTTTTTTAGACGATGGCGAGACCAGTTTGCCTGACGATGATCGAAATGCTTGTTTTTAAATTTTCCTATCGTTTGGAATGACAGAAAAGAAACTCTAATTTTTTAAACGTTTTTATCTGATTAAAAAATGCCTCTCGTAAATTTGATCAAAATCTTGTTACGAGTTTTGCAACGAATCAAAGATGGGCGATTTATGAAGATTTTCAAGAACTGCAAGAAAACTGCAGTTTTTTCAATCTTTCAGTTTTCCCAATTTTCTCTCTTTAAATTTTCAGGACGCATGAAACTCGCCGAGATCTACGAAAGACAATTTTTTTAATTTTTAGTCAATTTTTTTAGTCAAAAAGAGTTAACAAACGAGAGCTTTTATTTTTACTTTTGTCGTCCCAAGTAACAGCAAAATTAAAAGAAAAAGCCATTCTAAGTCATCGTCTGGGTGTAGTAATCGTCTCTATCGTCTAAAAAGAATTCGAGTCGTTTAGTTGAGTTTGAAAAAAAGTTATTACAACTTCGATATAAAGTTATTACGTTTGGTTACACTTTTCCGGGCCACTGTATCTCCATGTTCTCTCGCGTTGCGACAGAACATGCCCGCGCGTGCCGCCCCATTTCCAAGCACTTCGTTTTCAATCGAGTGCGAAAAATGCACGCGAAGTGCATGCACGTTTCCGTGTACACGCGTGCACACGTACACACGCGGCACGCCTTTGTCCCGCGATGAACGCTCAAAAGCGGGCTAGAACGATCTTTTGAGGGATCATCGGAAGTCGGGGGAACTAAATGCAAGCGCCGAGCTGGATTTTCTGTAGTGCGCATATTAAGTAACTTTCTGGCCGTTTTGATCGTCGGCGAACGCGACGATGCTCACCGATCGTTTGGAAATCGGACGCGGGCGATTTCTCGGAACCGGCCGGCGACGAAGGACGCGCCATTTTGTCGGCACTTTCCGCCTCGCGAGTCGCGTCGAGCTGCGAGAAACTATGCCGCACTCGTTATCGGCACCGCTCATTTATTTTCTCGAACGCGTTATACACCATGCTTCATTTTTGTTTATAAGCCGACGGACGATCAATCAAAATTCGAGAAAATTCACAGTACTGTTATTCCGCCAAAAAAGATCTCCATTTCTGCCGCCATTATTCCGTCTCTTCCGACTCGTTCGCAGTAAATTCTTCACAATTGTTGCTCAGCTTTCAAACAAAAATGAACAATTTAGCAAGAGAAGATACGACTATTCGAGCATTGCTGCTCGTTTTCGTAGTCGACGCTCGTCAACGACGATAAAAAGGAGCCACGAGGATCGAACAATCGCATCTCCTCTTTCCAAAATCGTTCCTTTTTTGCATACAAAAATGAGAGAATTTACTGACAATTGGAGAGAATTTACCGCACCCTTAACAACTTATCCCCGCACGAATGAAATTGACAATGCAAACGGTTGATCAGAAACGTCGCGATCATCTGTCTCCGATTTCCGCGAGCTATAAACTCGATTATGCCAGGTTCCAATCAAAATACGACCGAAATGCAACCGATCGAACATACATTTTTTGAACATCGTTACTCAAGTCGTCGTTCGAACTTCGCGTCGCTGCTTGTTCGAACGAACCCGGATATGTATTACAGTGAAACCATTGTCTCGCGAAACGTTCGTTTCCAGTGAAATTAACATCGATAAGTGTTCGCGCATTTGTTCGCGTTTCCAACCGATGGCTTCGCGACCGGAAAAATATTTCTCTGACGTCGTCGAAGTTCGCGGTTCGTTTCTCGCAGTCGACGGTTCGCGCGCGCGCGCGCGCGATTACGGAGCGAAAAGCGTCCGCCGGCTCGAGGATGAACCCGCGACCTTAGGGAGGCGCCTGTCGCTCGAAATTTACACATACAGTCACACTCGAAAACGCATTCACACTCGTCTCGTTTTCGTTGCAAAGCCTATACAATTACACCAGAGAGTGACCTCTACGATTCTGATCTACGCTTCGTACCTCGTATAGAATATGACTTTCTTTTTTTCCCTTTTCTTTGTAATCATTATATATACACGCTAGTTTAATCGGCTGCTACGTCGTTTACTAACTACGGCGCGATACGCTCGCGCTGCCTTTTGCTTTCCCCTCGTCAGTTCGCTCGTGAACGCGAGCTCCGGCGACTGCGTTCGGCTGCTGGCACCCGACGCAGTCCGTCGCGCGGTTCAGATTCACGGAAACAGAGAACAGAACTCTTCCATCCACACTCGCACGAGAAACTTCTGATGAGAGGGCTGCACGTTAACGAAAGCCTTCCGACGAGTGCTGCGGTCGGAACAAAATCATTCGAACGCTCAAAGCCGATACCCCACCGATCGTTGTTCCGCCGCGATTCTGGTCGTTTAGGCTCGCTTTTGTTTTTTGTTTTCTTTTTTATTCAGAGAACGGCGGAACAGCGTACGCTATCGATCAAAAATTCAATTACATCGCTCGCGTAAAACTCGTAGTGAACAGAGAAATATCGTGGATGGACGCTTGAAAGCAACGAATCCATACGATCGCAAGGAAGTAGTAAGATAAATATCATAAACAAATAGCACACGGTTCTCGTCTCCTGGTTCTTATAAATCGTCGCAAATTATAATAACAATTGTATCGTGATCGATGAAACATTTCTGAGCGACGTTATATTCGCGTGTCATTGAATTAGTATAATTTTGATTGTGGATTGTTCTGTGTTGCTTGTTTGACAGGTTTTCATTGTTATTATTTGTCTTTTGATACTACGGTAAACGTAGAGTCGAAATAAATCTGTCTAATAATTAAAATATAATCTTTAAGTTATTTATTATTTGAACAAATGAGCTTCCTTAAATGTTTCTTGATCTTAATAATTCGAATAATCTTTCCAATGAATCTGTCCAATTGGATCCAAATAAATCTGCCTAATAATTAAAATAATCTTTGAATTATTTATTATTTGAACGAATGAGTCCATAGATGTTTCTTGATCTTAATAATTCGAATAATCTTTCCAATGAATCTATCCAATTGAGTCCAAATAAATCTGTCTAATAATTAAAATAATCTCCCAATGAATCTGTCCAATTGAGACCAAATAAATCTGTCAAAATAATCTGTTAAAATAATCTTTAAATTATTTATTATTTGAACGAATGAGTCCTTAGATCTTTCTTGATCTTAATCATTCAAATAATCTTTCCGACGAATCTGTCAAGATCTACCTTAACGAATTATGCGACGAATTATGTTTTTGGCGACGCGAGATATCTGCGGCGAGTTTTCCATTTCTTTTCGATGTAATAGAACAAGCTAGTGTGGCAGTTGAATGTTACAGCGAAGGTGTCCTAACTTTGAGCTGGACCTGTTGATTTTGTTTCGCCTGGGTATACAAGAAAGGCTGTCGAACGCGAGGATCGATGCAACGGCGATCGTATATCGGTGTCTTCGAAGGGCAACCCTCTGTTCAACTTTGTCTCCGTATAGATGACGCGTTGCGGAAATCGCGGCGACGCTTTTTGAAAACACGATCAACATTCGTTCGATTGTACTCGATCGATTGACTCTGGTTGCAAGTTTTCAACGATGTTCTAACAAATCTACTACTTAGTCCTCTTAGTTTCACGCTGAAATTAGCGAACATTCACTGGCGCAGTTTCTTCGAACTTCTCGCGAAGTCTTCTTTATACAGTGAATTCTCGCAAATTGTCTCTCAGCTTGGACAATATTCGAGAAGGGGAGACACGATTACCCGAGCCTCGCGGCACGCTTTTATAATTAATATATATTATATAATATATTATAATAATATATAATATTATATAATATAATATAATATAATATAATATAATATAATATAATATAATATAATATAATATAATATAATATAATATAATATAATATAATATAATATAATATAATATAATATAATATATTATAATATATTATAATAATATATAATCGGCGACTGTGAAAACCAGGCGCGAGGCGACTATAAAAATCGGACGCGAGGCTCGAATAATTTGCTTCCAAGCTGAGGGCCAATTTTGGAGAAGTTGTGGAGGGGGGAGGGGGGGAATGATCGAAGTGAACAATTGACAAGCAAATTGTACAGTAATCTTGATTTGTCAGTCATCGGCATTATTCGCGTTTAGAAAGTTCATGAAAGACTAACCAAAGTCTCATCGAATGAATCGAATGTTAGCGCTGTATTCTCTCTAATTGACGCTCAGATTGTGTATAAAAATAGAGAATTTGGGAAGAGGAGATACGATTATTCGAGCCTTGCCTTGTCGACAATCCTGCGACTGTAAAAAACGAGAGTCGGAAGTCTCGAATAATGGAGATTAACTTGTAAGTGTCAATAATTATAAATGTCACTTTTTTATTGGAAAAACTATAACGGCGCAGCAACCGTTGATTATTAGTTATTAACTTTTACAATGACTCGTCATCAAGTCCACAAGATTGGAAAATATTTTTATATGCAACATAATCTATTTTCGTTACTACATGATCGATTTATCGAAGATTTGGCTAATGTGATCGAATAATTCTATGAAATTCAGTGAAATTCAATGAAAATTAGCTTCGAAACACGATTGAATACCTTCGCCGATTACATTTCTGAAACTATTATAATTCTCTCCATTATTCGGCTAGTCTTTTCGCTAGTTTTTGTAACCACCGATTGCCAACAACCATAAAAACGAGCTGCAAGGTTATTACACAGTAATGTCTCTCTAATTGACGCGCAGATTGCGCACAAAAATGGACAATTCGGGAAGAGGAGATACGATAATTCGAGCCTTGCGGTTTATTGTTACAGTTATAACTTGTCCACAATTATAAAAGCGAGCCACAAGGCTCGAACAATCGTATCTCCTCTTCTCAAATTCTCCATTTTAGTGGACAATCTGAGCGTCGGTAAGGGAGACATTACTGTAATCGCATCTCCTCTTCCCAAACCGTCCATTTTTGTAACGCGATTCGAGTCGTCAAAAATTAGAAAATAATTTACCATTTTTCCTGTGTCTTCTTATTGCTCCCGGCAACGCTGGAATCGCGACTATTAAACGCGGGAACAGAAGGGTTGCCCTCCCGGTATAGTTAAGAGCTGTATAAAACATCTAAACAAGTCGACGTTAACGAACAATTCCGCGACCGGTCTCTACGAGTTTCTCGGCACGTCGATAAGAAAAGGATGGGCTTTTGTCGTGTCGAAAAGGCGTGATCGATCGAACGAATTCGGATTGGCGCGGTTCCCCGGCGGCCGCCGGGGTGTGTGTCGCATATAGGCGCGGGTATATCGTTTATTATTTAAAAGTAGAAAATTGTTAGAAAAAAGCGGCGAACGGGTTCGCGTCTCGGCGGTGTCATGAATAGTAGCCCGATCGATCTCCGTCTTGCGAAGACCGATCGGTTTTCTTTTTTCCGGAGCGCTGGTTTTCCTCTTGAGTCGCTGTACGCGCTTTGGTTAACGTGCCCCGTATAAAATGTTCGTGTTCGAACGGTTCCCAAACGACATCCCCCAAAACACGACGACGTCTGCTTCTGTTCGTTTACCGTCGGAGTCATTGTTCTTTATAGATCGCGCATGTACAAGTGTCTTTTTCTTTCTTTCTTTCTTTTTTTGTCTCGGCGTGCCACGTTTTCGGTTCGAACGCGATGAGGAGAAGGAGGAGGAGGAGGAAACGGAGGCGGGGAAGGAGAGTAAGAAGGAGAGAAAGAGTGAAGACCGTTTAATTGAGCTCGTGTAACCGCCAATAACGCTGACCGACGATGGTTTTCCATGCGTTCCATCCGACAACGAGCGCGGACCGTGTATCGTGTCGCGGGCAAAAATGAAAATCGAAAGAACAAGGGAACGGAAAGAAACGAAAAGAAGGAATACATAATGGTCGAAGCACTCGCACTCGGGCAAAGAGAAAATGTATTCGCTCTCTCGACGCGAAGTCCTCGGCCGCATTCGTGCTCTTTTACACTCCTCTCTACTATTTATTTATTTATTTATTTATTATCGTATCCTTGCAACATTCGCTCACCTGTGTCGTCTCTCTCTCTTCGTCTCGCTATTTACAAACGTACGTGTACCGTGTGTGTGTTGTTTTTAAATAACGTCCCATTATCATCTCCCCCCCCCCCCTATAGTACCACGATTTACCTAAAATAATTATTTTAAACTGTGTTATCCGCGGCGACACGTGGCCCCGTACGCCTCGGACGCGTCTCTCGCCTCGCGACGAGTTTCCCGTGTCCACGTTCAGTCGGTCCGCTTCCATCCCCCTCTCGTTTCGCTAATCCCATTGTCCGTAACGTCCCTCTGCTCTGTCTTCCCGCGGTAAACGATACAAATGCCGATGCTTTACAGTTGTCTTTTGCCACCTCCCGCCCTCCCAGCCCCCCGAATATAGTTCACTTTATATACCCTGCCGTGCACTGCCGAATTTTCGCCTGGTACTTTTTATGTATTTTTTCATTTTTCCTTGCATCTTTCAACTCTGTTATCCCCCCCGCGCTTTTTTCTGCTTTTTCTCATTCGTTTCTCTTTACATTCTTCCCAGTATATTCTTCTATTTTTTGGTTATTTCCTGTTCGCGTTCCCGAGCCGAGTTCAGTCTTCACTCGCGTTCGACGAAGGGCTCGGTTCATCGGTCACGACAGTGTTCTCTCTCTCTTTCTCTCTCTCTCTCTCTCTCTCTCTCTCTCTCTCGCTCTCTCTATCCGTCGCCGATGGGTCGTCACTTGGTCGCACGGTGGTGAGGAGGCTTCCTTTCGAATTATAAAGAGGGGGCTGGCCGGTACAGGGGGTTGCCCCTGATGGGAAGCACGTGCGCCTCGGAGTTGAACACCCAGTCGTCCAGGCTTATGAGATCGTCGTTGCTGAACAGCAGGTAGAGGTACTGAAAACAAATGCGAGCAGAGCGATTTAGTTCGGGATTAAGATCTGCGTTCCGCGAGTTAACCCCTTGACGTATTTGGACGAGTCTCAGTCGCCATGAAAATTTTAAGCAATAACTTATCGAGAATAAATGGTAGTCTGTCCATTAAAATTGGAATAAAATTCGAATCCTTTGTCATCGATATTTCAATAAATAATATTATTATATTAATAATAATAATTTATTTATTATATTAATAATATAATAATTATATTATATTAATAATAATAATTTATTTATTATATTAATAATAATAATTTATTTATTATATTAATAATATAATAATTATATTATATTAATAATAATAATTTATTTATTATATTAATAATAATAATTTATTTATTATATTAATAATATAATAATTATATTATATTAATAATAAATATTCCAATAAATTTAAGCACACGATAAGCATCAATTTTCTTTCCCTTCTAAGAGATTATTGCAGTTGAAGAATTTCTGGTCGCGGTAATTGCGAAGAAACTGGTACGTCAAGAGGTTAAATCTTTCTCGTCCACAGTGTTTCTATCTTTTTTATTCCAGCGATTCGTTATGACGTTACACATAGGGCAAAGTTGAACGTAATACGAGAACCTCTCCTACCCTTGTTTATTTCCGTTCAGAATCGGTCCAACGTCGTGAGCAACAACCACGTTTGTATATATATAAATAGATTATATAATATATATCTATATTATATAATATAGATAGATGTTATATATAAATAGATTGTGCGAAAAGTTTTCGACGGACGTCGATTATATTACAAATATCTTTACAGCGGGAAGTGTACGATTATTCTCGTAAGTTCTAACGTATAGTGCACTCAATGAAGCTTCAGCTTTATTAGTTACTAGATTGAAATTATTTAATATTTAACATGTTACTTTTTTGTCTGAATTATACTCCTGAACTAGGAAAGATAATTCCAAAAGAATTCTTTCGCTGAAAGAGAAAGTATATATGTGGAAAGTGATTATTCCAAATGACTGTTAATGAAGTGATTATGAAATTATTATGATTACAAAGTGATTATGAACAAAATTGTCACGCGGAATGTTTACGCATGCTTCTAATCTTCAGACGTATATCACTTTTTAAAGGTAATAGGACACCTGCTGATTTATATATTATAATATTTACCTTTATATTTGTTTATATTTATATTATAATATTTATCTCTTTATATTTATTTATATTTATATTATAATATTTATCTTTATATTTATTTATATTTATATTAGAATATTTATATTAGAATATTTATATTAGAATATTTATCTTTATATTTATTTATATTTATATTATAATATTTATCTTCACATTTATTTATATTTATATTATAATATTTACTTATTATTATATTATAATATTTTCAATTATATATTATAATTGTTTGCTCGTTTTAGGCAATGTTTTATGCTCAGTATTAAGTCTCACGGCATTCAATTTTGCAATCGTTGCGCCCGCGCGGCTCGATCATTTTGAATCGTTCAATAATAATCGGCACAACGAAAAGCTCCGACGCGCCGCCGCGGCAATGTTAACGAGGTTGCTTCGTATTCGTGATAATGCAACTTTAAACTTCGCGTAGCTCTGCGAAAATGCTTCATCGACGCGGCTGCACTTCGGGCCGGTTCGCTGCTTCGGGTCAAATGAAAATTTGCGGAGCAGCGTACGCGGAACATTGCGAACGAGCCTGGGTCATTTGCGTTCCCGCAGAACAGAGAAAGCGTTTTGGGTTAATTGTGAGATGCGAAGGCGCTAATTAAGCTGAAGTCGTCGGGAAATTGTACGCAGCGGAACTCGAAAGTTCTCGGCCACGGCTGGCTCTGCTAAAAGCAAGTTAACGAAATCGTTGGCTTCTTTCGCGGCTCATCTGGCGCTGTTATTTAATATCTCCGTATACGTACTATGTATACCCTCTCTCCCCTGATAGTTCTGTATACGGTGCTGTAGGTCAGTGTGTCAATTGAGCCGTCACTTTACCGTAATGAAAAGTGGTGATCTTTTAATGTTTATACGAAATTAATTATACTGAGAAAAATATCGGTATCCTGAGATAACAAATACAAGTAAATCTTCTCGAAAGTTAGCACCCATGTTTTTAAACGTGTTAACCCTTTTAGTGCCGGAGGCCGATATATCGGCTCTTGCTGCACTGGCGAGAAGTGCCAGAGCCGATATATCGGCCCGCGCCTTATAGCGCTTTATAATAACAAAATTTTACACATTTACGATATATAAATATAAATAAAAATATTTATGTTACTATAATGAAGTATTATGCAAAATTATATCACAAATATATTTATGACAACATAATTTTGTTTCAGCAATGTTATATTACCTATAACAATTATATATTTCGGAAGAGATGATCCGTCCGGCGCTTACCATGTACCTTCGAGTTATTTTTTATGTTTGTTATGTAATATCATTTATCTTGTTACAAAATATATCAGAAATGCAAAGTATATACTTTGTAATAAATGATCTATATAAAATTATGATGAAAAGATGACTTTTTGTATGTGCAAATACGTTTTGTAAGAGAGAAC